ATATAGGATCCTGGCACAGCAGGCAAAGGTTTAACATGCAACACTGTTGCAGGAATTTTGACTCCGAGTATGGCAGCAACCTCAAATTCTTGTCTCGCAGGAAAGAAGAATTTTCATGCGGACACAGTTTAGTTTTAACACAAGATTTATTAGGAAAGTTGAGAAGAGAAGACTCCCGTCCTAGTGACGGGAGGGGGCTTTGAGATAGAAAGAACCCTTACCTCCTGCCATAGTGGCAGGAGGAAAAGGACCTCAGTGCTCTGCCATAGTGGCAGGAAAATAAGAAGCAAAACCCGTATTGTTGCAGGAATTTTGACTCCGAGTATGGCAGCAACCTCAAATTCTTGTCTCGCAGGAAAGAAGAATTTTCATGCGGACACAGTTTAGTTTTAAAGCAAGATTTATTAGAAAAGTTGAGAAGAGAAGACTCCCGTCCTAGCGACGGGAGGGGGTTTGAGATAGAAAAGACCCGTGCAGGGGAAGTGTTGGGATCTTTTAAGGCTTTATTTCGGAAGGGGGGTTTTCTAAGGACAAAGGAATTTCCTGGTCCCCAGGTATCCGGTTTTGGGGCAAGAGACCAGAGAGGTGTCAGACATGGGACATTCCAGGCCTTAGGCAGATGTGTATTACTTTTTCCTGTTCTCTTTTTAATGATAAAGAGATCGGCCTGAGGCCCGCCCACAGCGGCCAGAGGTAATGGCCGATACTTCTGGTGGGGAATTGATATGTTAATAGCACCACTGTTCCTCGGGAGAGACGTGTTCTGGTGAGTTCAAGATATGGTGGGGAAGTTCTCTTTTACTCGGGGACCCAGAATACCCTAACTGCCTACTACCCACTCTAACTCCTCTCTCAACGCCACAGTGTCAGTCCCACAACCTGACTTTTAAGAAAACATAAACTGTAGAATGGATTATTATCAACAAAATAAATTGAAAATATAAGTGCCAGGCCCATACATTTTTATGGATAACTTTCTTCCCATTTTTAAGCAACAGTGAACTCCCAGCTAAATCATTTTTTGCTAGAGCCTAAGTAAATAAATAAATAAATAAAAATTAAAAAGAAAAAATGTAGCTCAACTGATTTTTAGCATAACCTAACTCTATGAAAATAAAATCCAGAAATGTATTGAGATAATACCCAAAGGCCAAATAAGCTTTTAGAAATGCAAATGTATAAAGACTGAAAAATGTTTTTTCTTTAAAGCTGAAAATGGGTTTTGTTGAGAAATAGGGAGGAAAATCACAGTGTGAAGATGGTTCTTTGATTTGGATCACTTACGAGGCCACCGTGTTGTACAGGTGCTAATTAATTGTGCCATTCCTACCCCCTCTTGCCTTGGTGACATATCCCAAACATCTCAGGAAAGTGACAAGTTCTCTTTGGTAATGTGGATTGTTTTGCTTAAAAGGAAAAGATATGAAGCAAAAAGGGAAAAAAAATTAGGGAGTGGGTACTGGTCTAGGGGTTAAGAGCCTAGAGGGATGCCACAATCCATTCTAGAGTATCAGGTTGTCTCAAGCTCAGCTCCTGATTCCAGACTCCCCTGGGGAGGTTCAAGTAGGAGGGAGACCTGGGTTGAATCCCAGCTCCTGGCTTTGGCCTGGCCCAGCCCCGCGCCATGGAAAACATTTGGGATGTGAGCTCTCTATCTTAAAAAATAAAATCTTCTTGAGAAGGAAAATATTCAGACCTGCACTTAAATAAGAAATGGAAATTACAATGGTGAAAAATTACACATAAACAAAACAAAAACCCTCAATGTCACCAGTCACTAAAAAAAAGTCTGTTTATTTCAACAATGAGGTCTGAAAAGAAGCCACCATCAGGCTCAGTCCCTGACCAATGCAGAGACAAAGCAGGAAGTAAAATGAGTAATAAAAGCAAGTAAGAACAAAACAAAAATATGTTCTGTGGGCAGGCCTGAGGAGTTCTTGATGAACTCCCCTTTTTGAACCCTTTTAGCAATGCAAGCCAGCTCTCTAGTTTGTAAGTTCATCACAGGTCCCTGGATGGGAAATGCATCATTGCTATCATCTCCAAGTATCTGTGCCAGTTTCTTCTCCATTACACCTAAACTCAGTCTGGTTTCTGTCTTTTGCACTTGACTGAACTGCTTCCTAGGTGGCTGTTCTTAAAATGTTTCCTGGGCACCAAAGACATAGGACTCTCAGGCTCAGGGGATGCTTCTTGTCCTCCAAGTTGCACCCCATTCATTGCCTCTCTCTGAAAAAACATGTCACCATTGTAGACACGAACAGCTCTACTGTACTTCCCTCGTGGCTGCTTCCCCTCCCATTGGGCTTATGTGACAATGCCTGATGGACCAGGCTCCAAGCACACTGGTGATGCCACAGGAGCATGCCTACTGCAGAATTCAGCAGCCTCTTTCCTTCCGCCCGTGACCTCTCTCCTAACCCCTTCCTTGAAATAGCTCTTCCCAAGGTCAATTGGCACTCTTCTACTGCTTCCTTCTTTGAAAAGAGAAGGGAAGTAACATTCACAATGCGTCATCTCATTGAATCACCTTCTCGGAAGTGCTATTATACCCATTCCTTAACTTGGTAATTAGCTCAGTCTCTGGAAGATTATGCAAGCTGCTCAAAGGCTCCCAGCCACCACAAAGCCCAGGTTGAGCCAGGTTTGGTAGCCTCTTTCCTGCCTATTCTGGTCCCTCGGTATCTTGAAACAAGTCTCCAGGTTTCTGTCCTTCCCTTACGGGTTGACACAGTCACTTGGCTGCAGCCACCACATCCCTGTGGACAACTCCCAAGATGCCCCTGTTAGTCCCGCTCTGCCTGCCGGCGTACCTCCAGCTGACCTGAGATCGATGTCATGAGGGGAGATGATAGAAGTTCTGCGCCAGTAACAGGGCCCCAGTAACAGGGCCCCAGAAGGTGGCATGACTGTGATGCCAAGGGCACAGAGAAGGGGGAGGAGTGTTTTGATACTTCAAGTCCTGTAGAGAAACACACGGCACCCCTAAACTGTTCAGTCTGTGCTGTTAGCATGGTTGTCTGGACAACAAATGGCCTCCACAGCAGTGCCATGAAACCCCCCACCCACAACATCTAGTCTCTGCTTTTGCTTCCCGCAACTGGGGAGGGCTCAAACAAATGGGTTTAGCACACGTGGGTTCTCAGGCTGCTAGCCACTGAATTATCTGTTAAGAGAGGTTAGTTTTTGTTTTGTTTTGTTTTGTTTTGAGGAGCTGCTGAGATGTTTCCATCAGTCCTGCAGGTATCAGTACCTTCAAGTCAAGTCCTTCTGTTCAATGCGTGTCCTTGCAGCTCTGCAGCCAGGGCTGCTCACCAAGTCGCAATGTTTTCTTTCCACCAAAATGAAGCTGGTGTGGTCACTGACTGTAACCTGCAGTGAGTCAATGAGCACCAGACCCTGAGAACCCTCAGGACAGGCCTGAACTGTTGGCTCTTCACATGAACACAGTCTCGTGGTATGTACTAATCTTCCCCATCAATAATGTCTGCAAAGGATTTTACCTAAACCGGCTTTATAGTTATTGGCATACTTGTTCTACGGGTTTCCATCTGGTTCTCTGGGCTGGTTTAAGGTTTAGAATAGCTGTTAAAGCTGTGGACTTGGGTAAGTTTTAAAACTCCTCTATGTGGAATTTAATACGATCCCATGAAAAAACACACAGCCCTGAGATCAGAACTAGGAGGGAGTTCTAAAAGCTCATGGAAAAAAGGGATGGGAAGAAAAATTTTGGTGCAAAAAAAAGTTTTGAAACTCATCTGTAGTTTTTTTGGGTGATATTCATTTTCTGTATCTGGAAGACCCCTCATCCTGGGGCTACTACAGCTCTGCTCACTGCATCACAGCTACTAAACCTTGTGACTGGAACTCTGAATGAGTGCCCAATTCCTTCACTCACATACAGTTAAGGGCGAGGGACTTTTGAAGTCTGCTAAGCTATAAAAGTAAGATGTACACAGTATTTGTTGATCATGCCTTTAAACTTCAGGGTGAGAAGCACATGAATGGGGAGTAACGAGCTTGCTTACTGGGTCCAGGTGGTGGGGAGGAGGCCTCCAGTGGCCACGGTCAAGATCCTTGTCATAGTGTCTGATAGTCTGATCAGGCTGCTTTGTAAAGGAATACCAACGACTGGTCAGCTGATTAAAGCAACACACTTCTCACTGTATAGAAGGTTGTGGAAGCCATGATGAAGATACCAACACATTCAGGGTCCAGTGAAGGCTCCCTCAGACAGCAGTCTTGTATGGTGGAAGGGGAGGGCTCTTTGGCTTTTCCTTCCTGAAGCCAAACCTTCATGCTCTGAGTATACATCCAAGTCCTCTCCGAAATATCCTCACACTGGGGATCAGCCTTACACACACACACACACACACACACACATTTGGGGGTGGGGGACATATACATATTCAGTCAGAAGCAGATTCTATCTCCCCTGGGGTTGGTCCCCAGTTGAGTATTTTGGTCTGGTCTGGTGGGCTGGTGGTAAACACAGGTCTTGGAATGCCTCCAGCCTGGGAGGAGCTGCTGGAGCCAGTGGGGCACAGCTTGGTCTTGCTCTGCAGCAGCAATGCCACTTCAGCCCTTCCCTGCCTCTTCCTCTCTTGGCTATTGGAGAGCCTGGGTTCAGACTGTGAGCTCAGGGGAGGGAGGGATCACTGGGCTCTTTCTAAATGTTATTAGGGCTAGCCGTTCTCACAGCAGCACTCTGAGAAAAGCCCAGGCCTCACCCAGTATGATGACATCTTTGTGGGCAGGACCCAGGCATCTGCATTTTACAAGGCTGCCTGCTGGCTTCTAATGGATACCCAGGGGAGAAAACCCTACTTTATGGCTTTATGGCACGGAGCTGCCTGCAGCACACTAAGACAAAGACAAGGCAAAGCCAATTCAGCACAGAAATCCAACAATTCCGATTTAAATGGTGGAAAAGATTATCCACAAATATATACAATAAAAGACAACACAGTAAAAAAAATACACTACTGCTAATGTTTGGATTGTATTCAAATTTTTATTTTTTGAACAAAAAACTTAAGACAATGATTTTAAATAATAAAACATGGCATAGTATAGAGATTTTTTTTCAGTTTATTAAATTTGGACTTTTACGGTTCTGTCATGATACTTGCTTTAGCATGTTTATTATTCCTGACATTTTAACATCACTCCAAACTTGCTAAACAAAGAATCACTCTGTCTGCCCATGTGAAGCTTCACTTAAAGGAAATACTCCACTATCACATAAAGCACACACATATATATACTTTTTTGTAAATATTTACAAAATACAAGAAGTCTGTCCAGCCATTTTAGTTTTGTTGTTACATTGCCCATACTGAGATTAGCAAAAAGTAAGTAACAAGCAAGATTTTCACATTGGCAGTGCAAGGAATGGCATCAACCAAACTTCATCCAATGAATCAGTTACCAACATGGGCAGCAAAACGCGACTCATGACACAATGACTAACAAAAATAAACATGTAGTGGATCACAACTAGACTGGCTTTCAATGTGCAACTTTGCTCAGGGAACAATGCTACCCATTTCACAGAGAAAAAGGAATATGCATCCAAGCCTTTGTTCATGAAGAAAATGCCCTTCAAACAAATTCATCATAAGGCAAAAAAGAAAAAAAAAACATAAAAAACAAATTCAAAACTTAAAGCAGTTTGGCCCAGAGAAAAAGTTGAATATAATGTGTATACATAGTATATCCACATTTATAGATGTATTGCAATTTAAACCATGGGTCTAGTCGTTAGACAATCAAATGGATTGGCTCAGTGAGTGAAAAAGTGTTGGTTTTCTATAAATACCTAGTTATTGCTGATATGCCACACATGATGCTTGGACATGGGGAAGTGCAGGTGCTTAAAGTTGAAAGCTGCCGCATTGCCAGTACAGAGCCTTGCTGGAGGCATTTACTGGGACAATATGCCATGCAGGCCCCAAGGGAGGGCCAAAGACCACAGAGAATATCAAATGAAAGGCTTATGCACTTTTCCTTACATTAAAAAACAAAACAAGTCCAGTTCACCACAAGTTGAGTACAACCTGACAAGCAGAAGGAAGCACAGCATGCATTTACAATGAGCTTGGATCTAGTCTATTGTAATCATAGAAACTGGAATACAAAAATCCAATTTAAATAAGACTAGACAAATTATAACAGTAAAAAAAAAACACACAGTAGACTTAGTTCAATACAGATTAAGAGTAAATCTCATCCTATCCCCATCTCAATGAACTCTACTGCAAGTTTTTGACGGCTATTTATATACTTAAAAAAGATATTAAATACCTGTATCATGAAATTACATTCTTATTAACAGTAAGATGTACTATGTAAGAAAATAGCTCATGTGTGAAATGTGTCTGAAATGCATTTTTCCTTACAACTATCAAAACATCCACTCACGCTAAAACAAAACCACCCTCCAACCCCCCTCCCCCACCCCCGGCCCCGGAAAAAAGTTGAGGAAAGTTGGGGTGAGCTGGATGAGGAGCAGGGAAGGAAATATTCAGCTATACTAATTACAGCACAGTGATTAACAATGGTTCAAGACAGAACCAACAAGCGTTGGTCAAAAACATGCCTTCAGTCCATGGCTGTAAGTAAAAACCAAACTCAGCTACTTTTGGTTCATTGCAGTGAGACCAAAAAATCTCTCTCACAGATTCATATAAATACTAGATTCCAGCTCTTATATTATTATTATTTTTAAAAGTTTTTGTTTGTTTTTGCAAGGCCTAGCTACCTTATTACAACTTATATTTGCTCTGCAACAACTACAAGAGGTAGGCATAAAGCACGAAAAAGTTTCTCCATTAGTACCTTGCGTGGGTTGTTCACTGCATATTGCTATTCACTGTAGACATCAGAAGTCACTCTCTTCTTGCCTTTTCTAAAGCCCCAGAGCTGTTGCCATCCCACTGACGAATGTTCTAAAAGAGAGTACTACTCCCAAATAAGAAACTTTCTCTACTGAAGGATACTGTCATAGTGTCTGTTGCAGAACATTCATATATATATGTGTGTGTGTGTGTGTGTGTGTGTGTGTGTGTATTCATTTAAAAAAATAAACAACAACAAAAAAATACAAACCCGGGTTTCTAGAACCAATTCTCTTGATTCTCTACTTCCATAAAATAAAGTGTACCATTTGGCCAAGACTACAGATGTGTTTTTTTTTTTTTCTTCACAGATGCAAGTGCCATGCAAAATAAATTAAAGAACAGATACCAAAACAGACATGTGATAAAACTACTGAAGGTAGATTTTTTTTAAAAGTATATCTATAAACATAATTTATAATACTTCTCCTTTTTCCTTTATATACAGTCACAGAGCTGTGGTTATACATCTAAGATTTCTTCTGCTGTGCCTCCACAGCGCAACCTGTAGCGACCAGTTCTCCAGCTTATAGTTGGGTCCCATAACGCCGACAAAAAAATGTATATTGTCATGGATTCACGGATGAACCAAGCGACTGCATAATCAAGTTTGGAAAAACACAGTGTGCCTCCCTAGGAATTAAAGGAAAAAAAAATGCTAATTTGCTCACTGTCGGACTCAAAAACCAGTTACAAGTGAAAGAATATTCTCTATTAAGAGTACTTAACGGAGTTTTGCTATTATTATACCTACAACAGTACTATTCTCAGGGTAATGCCTAACTCAAGTCTGCTTCCTTGGTTAATCTAACTGCCACCTGCTGTATGCCATCTAACAAAATGTTAATTATTGTAAGAAGCATTAAAATAACTGCCATCCTAACGTTCTCTAGGCTTGAATGCTTGTTAATTTGCTTAACATCCTTTTTTGGGGAGCCTTAATAAAAGTGACTGAAGGCTGCAAATTAAGTCAAGTTCTACGTCGTCAACATGCCACTAAAGAATGTAATGTTGAAACCTGAACTTAACCCTCAACAGGAAGCCGAAGAATGACTCAGGTAAGACTTTCCTTCAATATTTTCTACATGAAAAACAACATTAGGTCTAGCCAACCTTTTCCCGCCTGTCCACATACCTGGACGCCCCTGAGTTGGATGTAGTCAAATATAAACCAGGCCAGGCAGTGACACATGAAAAACACCATAATGTCCCATCGGAATACATGATGGGCTGCCCATCCGATGATTAAACTGGCAACAAAACACTCTGAAATTGGTTCACAAATGATTGTAGCAGGAAGCATGTTGATTCGCAATTTGGTCCACCTGAAAAAGTTAAAAGACTGTCAATTCATCTCTATAGTTTACTCTTTGGTGAAAAGCAGATATTTAATCACTAGAGGTCCACAAATACACAGATTCAGACTCTTCCCTCTTTGAAAACATTGTTTCACACAGCCAAGAAAAAATACAGTGACAGAAAACTTATTTTAATGCAGAGCTAAAAAAAAAAAAAACAAAAAAACAAAAACTATTTTCTGGAATGAAACAAAAATCTTAACCTTGAGATATTTTTTAATCAAGTTAGACCATGTAAAAATTGACCTCCCCCCCGCCACATCTCTCTTAACAGACTGTAAAAAGAAGACAGCTGGTTTACCTGATCATTCTTGATTGAAACTGAGAAATTGAATACGAGCCAGAGTTCTGCATTGCAACTTGAGTGGACATTGCAAACCTCCAACCTCTGAAAATTCAGACAATTGGAAAATGAGTCATGATGCTGAACACAGGGAAGCCAGGCTGCAGTCTGAGGTCGCTCATCCCCATGAAAGGGACACACTGCTGCTGTCCAGTGGCCTCTTCAGCAGCAGCAGCAGCAGCAGCAGCAGCAGACCCCTTAGAAACATTCTAGCAATCATGTTGGCCCATGAGGGTGGGTACCACCCACGAGTTGAAAGCAGCTACCAACTTCCAACTTCACAATGTAACAGACTTAACAGGCCTAACAGTTTAGCCTCTAATCATTACTACTCTTTCTCCTAGCTAAAAGGCCGAGAGGCAATGGTGACTAACCAAACACCAGAAGGGTGTGTGCAGGCAGACATTCACTAAGAAATGTAAATAAGAGGCACCATGTATCTTATGGGAGACAAGAGGAAACCATGAACCACATGAATACTACTGCAAGAGAATTTTAAAGACATATTTCAATTTTTAGAAGCATAAGGCAGAGATTTCTATAGAAATCAAACATTTTAGGATAGAGTACTGCTGAGGCAATAACATGCATCAGTACGTGTCTTAGCAAGGCTCTGAATAATTTTCTTAGAAATTTCAAGTTTTGAAATGACATTCTTTAAATTTCTGCCTACTAGCTTTCAACTACATTGACAAATTGAATTCTTGCAAAGTACACAGAATTTACACTATAGTAATAAAATTCATAACCATGCATGCTTCTTTCTAATCTCTTCTAACCTATTCATTTGAGTGATAAAGGTCTCAGAACATTCATTTGCTTCATTAGTACAAACCTATAAATAATTAATGTGAATTGCCTTGCTAAAACTATTAATCATTCTTTCTACACAAGCGCAAAATAAGAGAATAAAGAAAACCCTTAAGCAGCAGATTGAGATAAAGAATAGTTCAACAGAAGGGAGGTATTAAAACCATGATGGCTTTTGTTTTCTTACCGGTCAGCTATGGCTTTGGCCATAAAGTAATCTTCAGCAATGTACTGAGCAAAAGCTATAAGTCCTCCTGCTTGGTCTAACACATCTTTCCTCATTAAGCATGACATCCCCGTTACACATTTGAAACCAGTTACGTTGGCAGAGATATAGGACCTTGGATGTGAAGTTCCAAAATACACCTGTCAAAAATTAAATTTTGTGTTAAAAAGTATGGTATAATGGGTTTCTTTAAATATGACTGAGAATATCTCATTTTCCTTATATAAACTACCTAAGTAAAAACTGGTACACACTTGTGTATACTGAGAGCAATCAATAATTATTTGGTTGCCTATTCCTGGTTTCACTATGGAGAATAACCGCTGGTATTCACAATGAGCCTTGTCCATTACCATGAAATATTTCCTTTCATAGAAAAATCAAACTCCATTCTATAAAAAAGGAGACTTTTGTAAAAGACTCAAAGATGAATGTAATTAAAGCTTAATTTGGGCACTAAACAGAACACACATCTATGCATTTACTTGGATTAGCATGGTTGTTTACACATATCTGTATGCATGAACCTATACACACGTATGCAAAAGTACATACACATACCACCTACAGGTATATCACCTTTTAAGACAACCCTGCTCAGTTCCTTTTCTTGCATCCTTTCATTGCTAGCTACTTCTTCTGCCCCTGTGTTCACAGTTCTTCTCAATTTTGCTTGTCAGCGTATCTTCCACGAATTAGATGGACATTAGAACTCTACCTCCTATCTCTTACTGCCTCTTTTAATTACTCTGAAATAAAGAGCAACGATCTTTCAACAACAGGGGGTTCACACAAATGTGCAGAACAATTTCAAGCAACAATTGAGAGCACGGTTCCTGCCACCTAGCCAAGCCCAGATTCCTAGAAAACTCCGACGTTTGTGGGGTCAACCAAACCTAACTTCTAGGGTGCGAAACACACATCTTAATTCCTTAAGCAGTTATTGAGTGTAGTCTTGGGAATGAGGTGTTGCTAATGATTCACTGAACATGCGCAAGGTTTCTTTGCAGACGAGCACGATTCCTCTGGCCTGTGTCCATTTCCTCGGAGCATAACATGGAGCCTTTTGGGGGTTCAAACTTCACTGGGGAGTTTGCCATTGACATGTACACCAATTTGGGTATTACCAACACAAAAACACTATGTGGCATATAACAGTACACAGAATTTTATTTTACAGGAACTACTCAGCACTCCTTTCACTCACGGAAAAAACTCTGGAATGTAAGACTACCACTCTCTTGCAGTAGGACAAGTCCTGTGTACATAGGCAATAAGAGACCATGGTTCAAGTGCAAATGATCAAATGTCAAATGTAAATTCTCACAATGTACCGTTAGCCTTCCAGGTCTATGGCATGTAAGACTGCAACTCCAAATAACAAAAATGCAGTATGCTAAAGAGGAAGTTCATATATCTGAAGACCGAAACCAGCTTTTCTTCCCTTGCAGGATATTAAGACAAGCTTTTCTCGTAAATATTTAACAGTATGAAACATACACATGACTATAAAGCCAACAGGATTACTTTTATGAAAAGCTATTAATATTATGTAAAATGTTACGAGGTGAAAAGAAAAATAAGGTGCAAACTGATTTTAGAGTCCTGTATTTCATCTATGCTTTGTAAAAAGCTTAGAGGAGTAAAAAGATCCGAAGTGCCAAAATGCTGAAACAAACACAACTTGGGGTCAGCACTGAGGCTCAGTGAGGTAAGCCACTTTTGGGGGCACTGCATCCTTTTTCAGAATATCTAGGATGAAGTCCCACTGCTGCTTCCTGCTAATGTGCTGGGGAAGACGAACAGATGATGGCCCAAGGACAGCGGTTCCTGACATCTTTGTGGGAGATGCCGACCACAGTTCCGGGCTCCTGACTTCTGCCTACCTCCATGCCAGTTGTTGCAGGCATTTGGGAAGGGAACCAGTGGATAGAAGATCCTGATTTCAATTTCTCTCTCATCCTCTCCCTTCTCTGTCACTCTGCCTTTCAACTCAAATAAATAAATCTTTCAAGAAACAAAACCAACCAACCTTAATTCTTAAAGATAGAGACTTCCTCTAATTGGTAGGGTTCTGGGTTGTTTTTTGCTTCTTAAGCTTGTCCCACACAGAAGTAAATCATTTCTAAATTGGATCAAAATAAGTGCAAGGGAAACTTACGTTTCTCAAAAAAAATTAACAATAACAATTTTATAAAAACTTTTAACACGTTTTCCTATACGGCATGCTTAAAATCTTGCTGTAAAAAAAATTTTTTTTCAGACTGAACCTTTGAAAGAATGGTGTAACATGCTCTTTTATCCAGTCACTAGTTGAGAACTGAGAAGCCAAGACAGTGGAAGAAAAATACACTGCTTCCAGCTGGCAGGAGACCCATGACGTTACCCGGGCACAGCTGTTCACAGCCAGGGTGCGGTCAGCTCAGCAGTGAGTGACCCGGGGCCCCAGCAATTTCCTCACTAATGAAAATAGCTACTCTCAGTTTGAGGATTCAATTACACAGCAGGTTCCCAAAAGGACTCAACACAGCTAACTTCAGAAGCCGGTTCCAACTGTCTGACTTAGTCGCACATCTGGGGGATGAGGGATCTGACCACACGGAGATCAGCTACAGTCACCGCACTTACCTGTTCTAAGGTGGCAGCGAAGCCCTGTCTGTCTGCAACATAAGGCAGCCCGTGAACCAAACCCACTTTTTCTGTCATTTGATTAACCATGTCAGTCAGTGTGTCCGGAATTACTGCAATGAAAGAAAAATGGGGAGGGGAAGAGAAAAAAAAAATTTTTTTTTTTAGTAAAATACCACCAACGACAATTACAAGCTGTGAAATTACGTGGAACGTCTGAGTCTAATGATACCCAGCTTAATCACCTTTCTGAGCAGAGTACAACATTTGCAAAGTGTTGAGGTAAGCTCCTTTACACACACTGAGCCCAGTTCACATTCACTATGGGCCGTGCCCTGAAAACACAATCCCCTGGGCAAGGCCTTCAACCTGGACCAAGGCTGGGTCGGAGGGCAGAAGTCAAGGGTCGTGTCGTGTTGGCTTCTCTAACACTCCAGCCCCAGCAAGGAGCCTCAATGTCCTCATCTGATCTCACGGAACTGCTCATGAGATTAAAAGGAGACATAGCTAGAAGATTTCTACCGAAAAGCAAAACCAATCTATGGCAGTAGATAATTTAAAGGCAGCAAACGTGAAGAGCGGCCACGATCTGTGTCCATCAATCCATAGCTAGCTATGGAATGGTGTTAATCAAATCAAATGAGTTCTAAACTTACACGAGATATTCAAATTCCTATTTTAAGGTAATAAGCATTCAGTGATTGCTCTATCTTCAAAAAATACATGTTATCATTAAAAAAAAAATTTTTTAAGCCTTTCAGAACTAAACCTACTACACAAAATAGTGTTATTCGAACGTTACATGTTCATACTCCGCGTTAGTGATTCTCAGCTAGGGGCAAGTCGCCCACAGGGGACATGTGGCTGTGTATGCAAACATTCTTGGGTTGACACAGCTGGGAAGAAGGGGTACTACTGGCATCTGGGGGCCAAGGCCGGGGATTCTGCTAACTCCCCTATGGCACAGCCCCCACAACCAAAAAAAGTTGAAGCTGAGAAATTTAAGAGTTTTTAATTTAACAAAAAATTACAGAATACTGAGACTATTTTAAATACAAAGATTTGACCATGCAAAAATGCAGATTATATATTCAGTACAGTTGACTTTCCTAGTCCCTGGGTTCCATGTCAGCACATTCAATCAACTGCAAATTTAAAAATATGTGCATAGGTCATAGGAAACACTATGTCACTTTTCACAAGCAGCTTGAGCATCCGTGGGCATCCCAAGGCTGTTCCGGAACAAATCTCCCATGTTTCTGAGAGGCTGGAGGTAAAACGCTTCTCGCCCAGTTCATCTTAGGGCAAAGCTGTGTACAGATCTTAACAAACATATGTAATCTAGTGAAATATATGCCTGCTGATTTCTGTCTCTCTGTGTGAGACACTGCATTATGCAAAACACAAGAGAAAAAAAATCAAGGACTTCACACATACAAGGTAATGGATTGTTGATTGGGTAATGGGCTGTGACTATCTCTTTTTATAGCTGGAATTTGCTCTTCAAAATGAAAACATCTTTACCAACCTGACACTCTAGGTTAGAATTAAAAGAAATAAAAACCTTTGTAGGTAAAACTGCATTTATTACCACGAAATAAATGTAGTGAGCAAAAGGATTTGATAAGTATATTAACAGATTGTTTTTGAGGTCTTTACCAGCAAATGAATAGTTTTATAAATAAATAAGAAAAATCTTACCTCTTATTCCACTATCACAAATCCATATAAGATCATACTTTGCCACTTCATATCCTGGCATTAAGTTATTGATTTTTGGATTGATGCCAACCTTTTTGCCACCTAAAAATGTAAAGGCAAGCACTAAGACATTCATTTGACTCTGAAAATATTTTCCACTATTTAGAGACACACGGCAGAGCACAGTAAAAAATTTGTATACTTAATGATTTGTGAAAACATAGTTTCACATGATCTTTCGCTTATTATTCATAGATTCAGAAAAAATTCATTGAAAAACTACAAAATTTACCTTTGAAGATGTAATGTTTGTTTTCCATTTCTTTTTTTTTTTACTTGAAAAAGGTAAGTTTATTTTGCTTCAAAAAATCTGAAATCCATGTACATGAGGGATACTATGCTCATCAAAGTTTCATTTCTTTTTAAGATTTCTTTTTATTTACTTAAAAGGCACAGTCAGAGATGCAGAGAAAGAATGACAGATCCTCCAGCTGCTGGCTTACTCCTTAAACGGGTACAATGAGCACGGCTGTGCCAGGCTGATGCCAGCAGCCTAGAGCTACTTCTGTGTATGCTGGCACTGCAGGAGGGGGTTTAGCCTGCACAGCACTGGCCCCTCAGTTTTCTTAAGTTCTTGCACTAACATTAAGCATTAAGTTTGATAATCTGATAACTGCACAAAATACTGACCACAGACTTGATTACTGATGAGATTACTCATTACAAATAAATATGTCAATTAATGGATATCTTGCTAATTAGCTTGATTTAGCCATTCCACGATGTATACTTTGTCAAATTAAAAATGATAATAAGATGGAGTCAGTGCTGTGGCATAGCATATGTCTTCCCTGAGACCCCAGCATCTCAAATAGGTGCCAGCTTGTGTCCTGGCTGATCCACTTCCAATCCAGCTTCCTGCTGATGGAAGATGGCTAAGTGTTTGGGCTCCTGCTACTCATGTGGGAGTCCTGGAAGAAGCTGCTTGTCCCTGGCTGTGGCCTAAAACCAGCCCTGGCCATTGTATTCATCTGGGGAGGAAGCCAATGGACAGAATCTCTCTCTCTGTATCTCTCCTTCTTTCTATAACTATTTATCTTTTTATTGGAAAGGCAGATTTACAGAGAGAAGGGAGAGACAAAAGAGAAAGAGCTTCCATCTGCTGCTTCATTCACCAAATGGCCACAATGACTGGAGCTAAGCCAATGTGAGACCAGGAGCTAGGAGCTTTTTCCAGGTCTCCCATGTAGAAGTACAGTCCTTAGGCTTTGGGCCATCCTCTACTGCTTTCCCAAGCTATAAGCATGGAGCTGAATGGGAAGTGGAGCAGCTGGGTTCATATGCCGGTGTTCATATGGTATACCAGCACTTACAGGAAGAAGACCAGCCAATTGAGCTATCACACCAGTTGCTAAATAAATCTTTAAAAAAGTAAGAGTAAGAAAAAAAAGGCATGACTTGTTTTGACACTGTGGTAGTTAAAACAGCACAGAGAAACTGACCCAGTCAGATAAAACACATAGCTCACATTAAATTAAAAAGAAAAACAACAAATGGTAAGCATATCCTTACAAGTCTTTACAATAAGCTGACGGGCTTTGGGAAAAATACACTTTGCAACATTACAAAAGTGAATTTTATTACGCCCAATCATAGTCAATGGGTTACAGAGAAGACCACATATTGAAAACATTAAAGAAACCTGAATTGGCATGTGGGCTAATTTTCTGCCTGTGGTGCCAGAATTCCAAATGGGTGCCAGTTCATGTCCTGGATCCTCCATTTCTGATCCAACTCCCTGCTTATGGACTGGGAAAGAAGTGGAGGATGGTTCAAGCCCTTGGGCTCTTGCACCCGCATGGGAGACCTAGAAGCAGCTCCTGGCTCCTAGCTTTGGAGTGGCACAGCTCTGGTGGTAGTGACACTTGGGAAATGATCCAGCGAATGGAAGATCTTTCTCTCTATGTAAGTCTGACTACTCTTTCAAATATAATGGCTCTCTGAAAACAAACAAAAAAGATAACAGGTGGTCATGTTTTATTAATCCTAGACAGGCTACAACCATTTTTTAATTTTTATAACATTTCTCAAAGATGTTTTTGAAACATCTTTATGCCAACAAACATGGTTAAGGCAAACATGCTGGGAACTTTAATGGATGGCTAACCCCTTACAGTTTAACAGAGAGGATTACTGATGCTTAAGAGTATACAAAGCAAAATATTATACCGAGCACAATGGTCTTTGTGGAGTTTGCCTACTTACCTATGAACAATCTAGCATCAACATTTGGATATTTCCCAAGGAGCTTCTTGCAGACATCAATGGCTGGGTCATCATGATCTTGCACACAAAGGAGCACTTCATACTAGTCAAAGAACATATTGTACACAAATCAGCCTCTTAAAAAACAAATACTTACTATTTACACTTATGAACTGATCAAAAAGCCTGAGGAAAAACAAACAATGGTACGCACCAACTGCAAAAGTGAGTTTTCATAGCAGGTGCAAACCAATGAGGGTAAAAAAGAGCTGAATTCCTAGAGGGACTACTCCCAAAACAGGGGGCCGTTTGCCAGGCACAGGGTACAGGAGAGACTGGCACAGCCTGTAGCTGCAGTTGTGTCCTGCCCACGCTGGTACATCCTAGGATGTACCTGTATCTCAGATCTGTATGTGATCTCCATCACTCAGAGTTTACTAAATGCTTACAGGTGCCTGGCAGAGGAAAAGCCCTGCACCAAGAAAGCCAAATGGGCACAGCCTATGTCCTCCAGCAGCCTGGTGTCCGCACTTCCTATGTACTTCATGAGGCTCTATGAGTGACATAAAATCCCATCATGGTAACTTACACAGGATTTTTCCACCTGGGTCACATAAAAGTGACAAAAGTGGCATTCAAATTTGGCTGCATAATTTAAAAAAAAAAAATGAAATGTGAACACTTACTATCCTAGAAAGCATGTTAAGCTAGCCTTATAGCTATGCAAAAGCCCAGGGTTTTCTTTTTCCTAGCACTATGTTTAGTCTTTCAGAGTCTATTACGACAGCCATTTTTCCATACCTGACTATACCAAAATTATCCTAGAAAATTTATTTTAAAAGAACTGGGCCCTATTCTTATACTTCTGAGTCAGAATCTCTGGGTGAATGTCAGGTAACATTTAGAAAACTATTAAATCCTGAAAGTGTTGCCTTTCACACACCAAGATGTTACTCCGATTTTGTGGGATATTCAGTCTAAGTGATAACGCTCCTTCCTCCCTCCCCGCGCCCACCCCGCCCATGCAATGGCAATACATTCATGTTGACTCCAAGAAAAATCTACTGAATCCTCTTTCTAAAGCTGTCTGGACAGTTTGAAGCACAGAAAGGACAGTTACGTCCAGGAAAACACCAGCAAAGCAGTGTGTTCAAAAAAACCAAAAAAGAACTAAGGATGCAGTAACTCAGGTAACAGGCAGCCCTGCTTTATTTAGTTCTATTCGTATAAACATCCATGAATAAAAAAACAGAACTAAGATGTTAACTCTCATTCTTTACCTATGACATACAATCTCCCCCAACATTGGCCATTAAAAAACACCGGGGTTAAGCACAAGAGACCACAACTCTGGTCATCAAAGATGGCTTAGCAAATAAGACAAGTGAAAATAAGTTTTCTACACAATCTAGTCAATTGTGAAAAATAATTCTATGTTCCTTATACTTCCTTCCTGCCACTCCTTTTGCATATTTTGTTCAGTATCTACTTCCAGTGAGAATGGACCAGGAGTGTGACTCAAGGAGACTGAAACCAAGAGACAGGAAAGAGTGCCACTCCTACCACACCCTTGACATTTCCCACAGGCCTAATTCTAAGTCACAGAGGCAGCCATGACTCCCTTCTTGACTCAAAGTTTGGGTGAGCCATCAAAAGGCAGTGACCTTAAAATCAGAGAGGTTAAGTGACTTTTCAAAGGGCAAAAGCAACACTCAGCTCTCCTATTCTCGCCAATGGCTCAGACAAACTTGCTCTGAATCCCTTGTTTTTCTAAACACGGTACACCGTCTCTTGCTTTTAGCATGTGTGCTGTTTTGCATATGCAAATTCATGTTTATAAGCAATGCAATTCCACAAAACATAATAATCTTAGCTTTTTTTCCTTTAGTAAGAGAAAATGTTGTAAAGTATAAGTTTAGTACCACAAATGTACTCAATGGGAAAAAAAAGGCTATACTACATTATAGCAAAAACCTTTTGGGAAGTACAAGGTGTAAAAGAAAGGTATATTTTACCTTTATTCAGGTGTAAAGTTTAAAGGTTTAAACTTTATTACCACTAATGCAACTTCTTATTAAAAATAAATATGTTCTAATTTGAAATTAAATTCATACTCCCTAGAAAATATTCAAACTCGTAAATACACGGTGCTCATTTAATGGCTTCTGATATTGAAAGGTATACCAAATTAAAGGCAGCATTGCGACTGTTTTTTAAAATACCACATTTCAACTAGGAATCTTCATTTTTCAGTCACGACAATTATTCCTGTCTACACTTTAATCCAGTGTTTTATTTGCTAGGAATCTTCTTGTATTGAAATGGTACAATCATTCCAACTGTCAACTGATAAGACATAACATACTAAATCAGTTCAAATCTTCCTCAGCCAACACAAAAGTAAATTTTCCGGTATTTCAGACACTATTTAGAACATTAGGCATAAATACAAATGAATATATTTAAAGGCACAGTGAGTATTAAAAATACTGTATCTTTTAGAGTGGGTATTTGGCACAGCAGTTAATGTCATTGCTTGGGATACCTACATCCCAAACCAGAGTGCCTGGTTTGAGTCCCCACTACTCCACTGCTGAGTCAGCCTCCTGTGAATGGGTACCCTGGAAGGCAGCCAATGATGACTTGGGCCCCTGCCACTTCACGTGGGAGACCCAGATTGAGCAGTCTGGCCCAGTCCTGGCTCTTGCAGGTATTTGGAGAGTGAACCAGCAGTTGCAAGATTAATTTCTCACAGCCTCTCCCTCCCCCTTCATTTCAAATTTAAAACAAACAAACAAACAAACAAACAGGCAGAACAGAACCATGAATAAATTTTCTTAATTAACCTTTTAAATACTTTAGAGAACACTTACGGGATATAAGGGGCAATAAATTTTACTCTAAACTGGCACAACAGGGATATATAAAATCGAGAACTAAATACTAAAGGTTAGCTTTCACCAAATAAATCTTTAGTAAGGTTGCTATAACCACGGACTAAACAGATTAATTTTTCCTTCTTTTTTTTTTTTTTAAAGATTTATTCATTTCTACTGAAAAGACAGATCAACAGAACGAAGGAGAATCAGAAAGAAAGATCCTCCATCTGCTGGTTCCCTTTCCGAGCAGCGGCAATGACTAGAGCTGAGCCAATCTGAACCCGAAGGAGCCTCCTCCGGGTTTCCCACATATGTCAGGGTCCTGAGGCTCTGGGCCATCCTTCCCTACACTCCCCGGCCACAAGCAGGGAGCTGAATAGGAGGTGGAGCAGCCAGGACATGAACTGGAGGCGCACACAGGATCTCAGCGCTTGAGGGGATGGATTAGCTCGTTGAGGCATTGTGTCTGGCCCTTCTTTGTTCTTAAGTACTGCAATAATTAGCAGGCTGAAAACAAGTACATTATTAAAAGATATCAACACATGAGGTGCTAAGGGCACAGGCTGGAGTCCCAGCTGCTCTCCCTGGAGTCCTGATCTTTGCTGATGCATCTGGAAGGCGGAAGAAGACGGCGCAGGTCACTCCTGTGGGAGATCCAGATGGAGCACCTGGCTCCTAGCTTCGGCCATTCTAGTCATTTGGGAAGTGAACCAGCAAGCGTAAGATCTCTCTCTCCTCATGAGTTTGCCATTCAAATAAATACAATTAAAATTTTTAGAAAAGCAAAAATTAAGAACATTCAGTTCTTTGATATTTAAAAACTGCCTATGTGAAACTGTAATCACCCAAGTTACTTGATTAGGTCTCCATATATCAGTATTTGGAAAATCTTCTTGATCAAATAACTGCTCACAATAAAAATATAAATGTATCATCGTATAATAGAAAAATGCTTTAATATATAAAACAAATGCACTGTATATAACAATACCCATAAAGAACTACTACTTTATGATTACATAAAAAATGTTATGATTATAGAAATTCTGTAACAGAATTGAAAGAGGGAATGCTAATCTCAAAACGCTGACACCCAACCTTGAATAGCTGTTATCTATTCTCATGAACGAGAGAGGTTACATGGTGAACTCCTAAGCTTGCGGGCTTTGTTGTGCAGCGTGAGGCCAAGCCAGCCCTTCAGCCGTTAATTGCTCGGATCACAAGGCAACTGAGTGAGGAAACCAGATTCTCTAAGGACAACTCTATCCTTGACAATGAGGGGTCTAAAACATGACACTGGGCTTGGGACACTCGAAATCAATTCTAGATTTGCAAAAACGAAAAATAAGTTACATAAGCTCGCCCTGTTAATAGCTCTGATGATTAACAATTATTCATACGAGTAGACTTTGAAGCCAGTAGTCACAGTAAGTAGCTGTAATCTTCAGGCAGCTGCTCAATCTCTCCAAAGCCAAATGTATACTCAACACTGTGATGCCCAATGGACTACAGAAATGAATAAATCTATGGGTGAAGTGTCTAAAACATCAGGACTATTATTTTGTCTATATGTGATTTTAAAAATTTGAGGGTCAAGCACAGTAGCTCAGTGGCTAAAATCCTCACCTTTAATGTGCTGGAATCCTATATGGGCACTGGTTTGTGTCCTTGCTGCCTCACTTTCCATCCAGCTCCCTGCTTGTGGTCTGGGAAAGCAGTAGAGTATGGCCTTAGCTTTGGGACCCTGTACCCACATGGGAGACCCAGAAGAGGCTTCAGGCTCTTGGCTTTGAATTGGCTCAGCTCTGGCTGTTGCGGTCACTTGGGGAGTGAACCAGCAGATGGAAATCCTTTCTGTCTGTCTCTCCTTCTCTCTATAGATATGCTTTTCCAATAAAAATAAGTCTTTAAGAAAAAAGAAAAAGGATTTATGAAGAAAATTTAAAAAAAATTATTTGAAAAGTAGAATAGACAGAGAAGAGGGGAGAGAGCCAGCGATTGAGAGATACTTTCCATTCTTTGACTCACTCCCAAACACCCACAATCATTGGAGATGGGCCAGAGTCAGGGAGCCAGGGACTCCTTCCGGGTTTCTGACATGGCTGCAGGAAGCTATACTGCAAGTGGAGGCGGGACTTGATCCCAGTTTCATCTAGGATGCAGGAGTCCCAAGCAGCAGCTTAACCAGCTGTACCACAATGACTGCAATACGGTGAATTTATAAGATATTTAAGATGCAGAAATATTTCAAGGATGCTATTCTAGTTCTATCAGAATTGAAACCTTCTAGTTCAGAACAAGTGCCAGCAGTAAATCTTGTATTATGTCCAAAATTAGATTAAACAATGTAAACTTCCACATATGGCCCTTTTTCCCTTCCCCAAAATGGCCTGAAGTGTTCCAAATCAAGTAAAACAGGGAAAAGTTATGTTCAGGATGAAAATGTTTCATACTTTTGTAAAGTGATGTTTGCACCTGCCAAGCAGCCAGGAGTAACATATGCAAACTGGGCATGACCGCTGCCTCGGAGATTACCTGCCCCGCCCCTGCAGTCAGACAACACGCTGTCTGCTCCAACTCCAATTGCTGGACTGGGGTCGCTCATGGCATGTCTGCCATGGGGCCTGGGGATTTTAGAAAGTAAAGTACTGTGACATTAAAAATTTCCCATGGAAAAGGCATTTTTGTGCTTCTGTTTTCCAAATTTTCTACTTACACAGCTAACAATACTTTTATAATCAGAATAAAGCTGTGTACAAAAAGGTAAAAGCAAACCCCTTGTCCATGCTGTTATTTCTAACATCATCAGTAACAAAACAGCTTTCACGTCAACCAACCTAAATGCCCCCAGTGATACGATTTAAATGGAAGAACCAAGTGAAAAGGCCAGAATGCTGAACTGCAATTAAGGGGGGAAAAAAGTCTTCATTCAGAAGAGGGACTCAGTTACAAATTCATCCCAGATTCCAAAATTAATGGACACCTATGTTCATGGAGGTAATTAAAATTTTTTTTTCTATAGCTATGCCTGCGGAACCTTCCTCGACTGTTTTAAATGCTATGATTGTCTTCTCGCAGGGGCTGCCACACCTGAACTCCATCTCTAAGTGTTCGGAGCAGTGTGAAGGAGACGGAGCAGGATGGAGGTCATACTGCTGAAACGTGAGCTCAGGTCTGCAATGGGAAGTGCCTACGGTCCCCAGCTGCCCTCATAAGGTACCTTTATAGTTTATGAACTATCCTTGCCTTTTTACATACTACGGGTCTTGAAAAACTTCCATTTCTCTTCGTATATATCTTATTTTATAACTTTGTTTGCAGCATTCATTTCAGTTTTATAAAGTCACCTATATAGAATTATTTCATTCTTAAAGGCTACATATTTAATTGACTGAATGGATAACACATGCATATTATTCAGTTGTTAAATACATAAAGCACACAAACTAGAAAGTTCTTTTTATTTAAATTAGCTGCCAATACCTAAGCTCTGAAACTCCTATAAAAGTAATATTAAAACAACACTAAAAATAACTGAATGATACTCATGTCTACACACTTAACAAGAGCTGCATTAAGGAAGGGATGTACAAGCCGGCAGGCATGAGAAGGAAGCTTTACATATGATCTTCCTCTGATTCTCCTAAAGAAACAGGAGGGAAGAACCTCCAAGCAGCACTACAAAAGGAACATTAAACCTACTGGAAATCAAGCCGGGTGAAATTTCCAGAAACATTCTTTTCAGGAGTAATCTACCAGTTCCAAAAGCAATATCCCAAATAAGCCGTTTAAAATGCTGCTGTAATGCTAATAAATACAGAAATGCTAAATTTTCTCGAGAAACTGTAGCTACAATACTAACAGAGAGGCTACAAAAAGAACATTTCCATCTCCAGAGAGACTCAAAACTCAGTTGAGCACAGCTTACAGAGCCAAATAACACAAGTGATACAATTAGGCACTAAAAATCAGAACAATAAAGGATTTACAAGTTAGGTAACACAAACCCCTACCTTTTCACTAACTGTAACCTATTCTTGCCTTAAAGGTGGCTTTATTCATTCATTCATTCATTCATTCATTCATTCATGGCTGCAAAGGCCAGGCTTGGGTCAGGCTGAAGCCAGGACCCAGAAGCTTCTTCCTGGCCTCCCACGTGGGTGTAGGGGCCCAAGCACTTGATTCATCTTCTGCTGATTTTCCTCATCAGCAGGGAGCTGGCTCTGAAGTGGGGCAGCCAGGACACCAATCTGTGCCCATATGGGCTGCTGGCATCTGGCAGTGGTGGGGAAGAGAGCAGCTTTATGCCACAGGGACAACTCGTTGAAGCCACTTTCTTTAAGGGATTCAGGTTTAGTTCCAGCTGACCTGCATTCCACTTCAGACCACTCAACACTGCAATCTCACTCTGCTCCTCTTCCTGTGGTTCATATACACAAGTCACACAAAATGAGATTCTTATATTCCGTCTGCCAGGTGCCGGATAGTAGCTGAGTTCAGCAAGTTTATTCAGAGATTCCTACTCAGACAGACACACATACAGTGAGAAGGGGGAATTTATAGCTCATCCCCAATCACTTCTGTCCTGTGCCTGCTAGAGCTTAAGTGTTGTGAGCCCAACATCATTGCAGGTGAGCAACAGCTTCACCTTACACAGGGTTGAAATTCTTGAGAGTTTATGATGACGGGGAAGGACAAGCCATGGTTTCCCAGGCCCATCCCTTGTGAGTTCATGGCACTTACTTTGGGATAATCCAATTCAAAGAAGGTTTCCAAGTTGTTGATCAGGTTGGGATCTACTCCTTTCAGCGGCTTCAGAAGAGACACACCTGGGAGCTTGCTATACGGTTGCTTGTCAGTTGCCTTCTTGTTGAGGTGTAATCGGCTGAAAAGCAAAGGACACACCTACATATTATTTTTAAGAATATATTTGTGCCAAACAAAAACAAAGAATGTACCAAATTATACAATTCTAGGGTAATGTTTTATAAAACTGACATCTTTGTAAGCGGAGCTCTGCAAACAAAACAGAATAGAATCAGTAAGTCAAAGGTTAAGAAACTCAGAACCAAGCCCAATGAATCTTCCAGAACTAGCCTCCAGAATGTAAACAAACTATGTCGAGCCTTTATTGGCATTTAGAACTCTGGAATAAAACAGACATTCAACAAGTACATGAGGGAGAAATACATAATTCTGTGGACCCACACTTAAACTGCTCTTCCTCTCAAATTGCCATCACAGCAACCAAAGAACCACAATAACAGGCTAAATAAAATCTTTATTTGTGCCAAAGCAATATGGAAATGTAATCAGAAACTTTGGAGAACTTCCCATAACAAACAGACCAAGTAACATGGCAACTGAAAAGTGTTAAGCAGCCTGCCAGGGAAACAAAGAACAGGATAACTGGAACTTCCCAACTTAGTAAACTCAGAAAGACAGAAGCAGACCAGAGGCAACTCCAAGCATGAAAACAGCCTTGCTGATAAGACAAATGTCTACCAGTCACTCTGGCAGATACACCAGTGTCACCATTTCACAAATAGGTTGGCTGAGGTTGTCCCCACTGCTTCATTGCAAGCGCACGACAGCAGTTGGTCCTAATGAGGGAAATCCTGCCAAGTGGGGAAGAGAGACTGTGCCCCAGTCAACACCAGGCTGTCACAGTAGGAGGTGCCACTCTGCAAAGTGGCAAAATTTTGGAAACAGGTCACCAGATACTCCAGATACTTCCTTCCTCTTCCTGAGCGCATCCCGAGGACTTCCCATTGGCAAGTCTCCAGGTACCAGATGCGAGAACCACATGGTCTTCTTCTAAGACACACGTCTCCTCACCTTGCGATGTCTCTGAAATTCATGGCAGCTACAACCGCTGTCAGCCAGACAGCATTCCTGACTTGATAGTGTGGAAACCAACTAAGGAGACCTTTTACATGAAGATAAAAGCAAAAATGAAAAACTCACTAGGGCCCATGCATCTTAGATTAAAAAACATACATTATTCATCTATGAATGACTTTTTCAAAGCACATCAGCATCACCGTTCAGACCAGTTGGTCCAGGCTTGTGCCCAGGTAAAGAAGGCAAACACCTCACATTGCACTAAGGCCACAGAAAGAAAACACAGTACCTAAAACGCAAAAATATTAAATCAACAAAAAATGGAATATGGTATCACCAATTTTTGATGGACAACATAAATGACAAAGAATCATGACACACCAACCACAAGAATACTACTCAAACTGTGGTCTGGTGTCCAAGCTGCTTGGTACTGGTCTGCAAAGAGAAGAAATGAACAGGAAGTTTTCAGAAACTTCACAGCAACTTGACATTGCTGTGACATCCAACCAAGCGACAGACCATTTACTGTTATTTCAGGCTACCATAGGTCAGTAGGTGGCAGACTAAACGATTTAAAAGAACTAATCCTTTCCCACTATCCACTAATCTGAACACTGTCGTGGATATAGAACAGCAAGGGCAAGTAAATTCCCTCTCTCGAGGTTTTGGCTCCTGCACGATTTGCACTCTTCCTCCTTGCACAACTTCTATGGGTGTCAACAAAGCTACACTGTGGATACACTGTACTACATTGTAGCCTAGTTGTAGCTACAGTGTAGCAGGAACGTAGTGCTGTTATCCAGAGAAATGATGCTTTCAGCCACAGCTAGTGTGCTATATGCCAGTCTATAGCTGCCATGTTCTGCTTGTCATCAACAGCCTGCTGCCTGGTGTTTTGGAAGTGGCCTCAGTGGTACACTCCTCCAGGTGGGCTAGTTTCATGACAGGTTCTGACAGATCCACGGGGGCTAAAGAACTCATGCCATTTTTTAGTTAGTGTCTTAGATCAGGGCTGCTGCAATAGCTAGACAGCATGAACTCTACCCTTAAGCACCTACATACTGCATGGGACTTCTCATGGGTGCCTATTTCTGGAATGGAAAGATGGCTAGTGTGCCTTCTGCCAGGATTCTGGTTACAGCATTATCTCTGTTCCTTGTCCTATACCAGGAACTCAGTTCTTTGTTTCTATCATGTATTTGGCTTGTAGCCTCGGTCTCTTCCGTGAAAGTATTTTTTATTGGTGTATAATATTCAGATTGTAAAGTTGCACAGCCATGCCCAACACTAAGAACTTTCTAAAAGTGAAACTCCTAGAATCAACAAAAAAGTTTTCTCAGAAGCCCGGAAGGCCCTGTGTATTCCCCTCGGCTTAACACTCTCAAGGGTAATTGCTTTGCTGGTGTATCCCATCACAAACTAGTACTGCCAGTTTAGAACATCATACAAATGGAATCCCATAGGATGCACTCTCCTAGGCATGGTTTCTTCTGCTTCACATTATCGTACAAAGATTTATCTATGTTGCACTTTGTTTCCTCACTGTTGTACAGTAGGGCATTCTCTGCATCAATACGTCACACTCTACCTGCTGTTGACCAGTATTTGGGTTGTTCACAGTTGCGGGCGGCTATTACACATAGCCTAGGGTATTCCCTCCTTTCTCCCAGGAACCCAATTTTTGGGTGAGATGAACAACCTTTTAAAAAATCAGACAACATATAAAAGACAACCGTTTTTAAGATACTAGACATCATGGAAAGGGAGACAGTGCCTCCTGGGCCAGGGAAAACAAAGGACGGAGTCCTGCAGTTGCAGAGCCCTCTGCACTGGGAGGTGGAGTTGAGAAGCACAATATCTGCTGCTCAACAAAATAGTGAGATTCAAAATATTTGGTATGTAATTTTTTAAAAGGTGCCAAACTCATAAGGAACTTGGGAAAAAAAAGTTATTCTTTTTTTTTTTTTAAATTAGTGAATAGAAACTAGCTTAGAACGTCTGTGGGGCAAGAACGAGCAGGCAAGACCAGCTCCCTGTTTTGCACTGCCTCTTCATTTCTGGAGCATGCGGATTTCCTTTATTTACTTTCAGGCCAAGTATGTACATGTGTAATTGTTACAGCATTTCCACGTGTTTAAAGAGTGTCCATTCTTACACGGGCACAGACCACCTCTCATTCAGAAGTGACTTCTCTACGAGCCTCTGTGAGGGTAGGGTGACAGAGACCACAGTCAAATCATGCTGAGGACACCCACAGAGAAGAGACCAGGGTGCATTCCCCAGGAGCTGTTCCTTCAAGACTTTCACACTCTAAGTGTGGGCCAGGGAGCGGCCCCATGGATATAACCCAGGAGCTTATTAGAAATGCAGAATCTCTGGGCCCACCCAAAAGCTACAAAAACAGAGCCTGTATTTCTTTTTTAAATTTTTTATTTTTCATGATACAGTTCCATTGGCTCAGGGATCTTCCCTTCCTCCCTCACCATGTTACCAAGGGGCTCGCAGGCATATTCAAGCTCGAGGGGCACTATTTCAAAACCTGTCTCTGCTATAAACTCTTTCATGACTTCAGAATCGTGGCTGAAAAGGAAACAAAAGAAAAAGCTGTGGAAAACAAAAAGGCAGCCATCAGTGTCACTTCTGTATGGGAAAGAAGAGACCAAATCACAGGCAAGGGAGATGGGAGATGAGGGAATATTCAAAGCTAAGAGCAGAAACCAAAAGAAGAATGAAGCAAAGGAAGGGAAGTCAGGAGAATTCCGTGTTCCTGGGGCTTGGTCACTGAGCCTGGGGTAAGAGTGGCACTCGGGTGGCTCTGGCCAGAATCTGAAGGCCCTGCTTTCAAGCTGGGCACAAGGAAAGATGGAAGACAGTGATGGATCAGATTGCTCCGGACCATGAATTTTCAACTTGCAACAACAAAAAAAAAAAAAAAAGTGGCAATGGCTCTCATCCTGCAGACTACTGTTTTGCAACATCTAGAATATATAACGCTCACAGGCATTAATTGACCAGTTGAAGTGCCTCGGAATCTGCATTTTCACAAGCATTCCAAACAACTGAAGCACGCTGGCAGTGAACCCCACAGAGAAACACAAAAGTAGACGATCAATTCTCCAGAGCCCATCAAAGCAATGATGAACACAGCACAATTTCAATGGTTCCTTTTAATTGCTGAATCAATGACGTGTAAATAAAAACACGGAGTTCAACAGACATGAATAGCCTAGAGATAAAAACATGGCAGTTGGGTCAGGGTCACAACACAGTGGATTAATCCATTAGCTGGGAAACTCCCATTTCATCAAGGAGTTTGGTTCAAGCCTTGGCTACTCTGCCTCTTATCCAATTTCCTGTTATGTACCTGGGGGCAGAAGAGGATGGCTCAAGCACACCAGCTCCTGGCACCCCACACAGGAGACCTAGATTGAGTTCCTGGCTCCTTGCTGTGCCCTGGCCCAGTCCTAACTATTGAGGGCATTCTGGAAGTGAACCAGCAGGTGGATGATCTCTCTTCTGTCCCCAATCTCTCTCATCACTCTGCCTTTCAAATACATGAGTAAATCTTAACAACAAAAATACATGGGAGCTATTCAGAGTTTGGTAAATACATTAAGCTTCCCAAGATAGAACACACTATTTGCAGGTGGCTAAGAATGAATACAACCACTATGACAGAGCCAGCAATGCACGAGGAAGAGTAAATGGTAATTAAGGAAATAGGCAGATGGCCAGGGTAAAAGTCAAGTCACAGAAGGATCTATTTTTCCTTTTCAGTGATTTTAAGAAAGAACATCACTGAAAGCTACCATTGGGATAAGAACTGAATGCCTGTTGAGGGTGTACCTGGTGGCCTTTGAGCACCTGTGGCAGGGATGGGGCACTCACTGGACCAGAAGGCAGATAGAAACAAGCTGAAAAGTACAACAATGGACGTGTGACCTGGTAACAATGAACACTAGCTTCTCCCAAACCTGACAGCAAATGAAAGGAGGAGGAACAGAACACTTCTCGGCTTGATTTTTAAAATGATTTTAT